GTTTTAGACGTATTAATAAAGCAATAGTTTTAGACATGCAAAAGCTTCCAATTCCAAGAGGAACACTGAATCAAATTTCATCATACCATCATCATTTATAACTAAAACCAAAATGTCCATGTTTATACCATTCTCATCAACACTTTCCCTTAGTTTTTGCTTTATCTTTAGTCCACAAACTTAAGTAGTATAAATACAACCAAAACAAATGACTGGAGCAATTGTTTCCTAATTGCCAATACATTTGAGTGATATCTGTTGGTCCCAGTTTACAAGAATCTAAAAGTGGGGTTGAATAGATTTTTCCTAAGATGACTCTCTTTTCGACCAATTCTTGATAAAGACCTATCAAGATATCTAAATTTCAACCTTTTTCAAAATAAAAATTACACAATTAAACATCTCAAATTTCTCTCTATCACTCTCAAATTATTTAAATAATGATAAAATAAAATTTTGGTTATTTTTATTTTAAAATTAATTATTTTATAAATAAAAAATAAATAATTATAAATTAATAAATAAGTTCATAATAAAATATAATGAGGTAAACTTTTTGGTGGGACCTATTGGAAGCACCCAAAGAAAGTTATTTCATTGTAGAGATGAAGTGCTTGGAAGTGCTTGTATGGGGAAGAGTAAAAATGAGTGATATCTGTTGGTCCCAGTTTACAAGAATCTAAAAGTGGGGTTGATTAGATTTTTCCTAAGATGACTCTCTTTTCGACCAATTCTTGATAAAGACCTATCAAGATATCTAAATTTCAACCTTTACTCTATTTGTTTTAACAAAGAACAATATATTATAAGGTTTATTACCAATGTATCATAATATAAAAGTTAATGCAGTGAAACAATCACTTGTAATCAAGGTTGATTTTACATTACCTTCTTTTTAATCAATTTCAATTACAAGAATAAAGATCAGAGTTGGTACTGCAATTGAAATTTTATATCTCAAAAATCTTTAAATTCTTTAAACAAGAAATTAGCAAGATTCTTTAAAGATATGGGTAAGAAGATAAAGAACACAAAAATTTATACTGGTTCAGTCATCCACTTGGCCTACATCCAGTTTTCCTTGATTTAGCACCCCACTAAATCAAAGATCATTCACTATAATATTATTTTACAAACACCTTGCACACACAATATTACAAGAATTCTAACAAACATCAATCTTGACACTGCAAGATTCAAAACATACAAAATTTCTGTACCTCACAGAAATTACTTTAGAAACCCTACTCAAGATTTCAAAATCTCTTGTTGAGACACCCTATCTCAAGAGATACATCAATCAAAATGAAAATACAAGTTTAAAGATCAGAAAGATATCACCTAATTTCGTGTAGATATTGATCTTTCACTTTTGAATACATTTCTTGAATTTCCTCCTTCAAGAATTCATGTTCTATCTTTGCACTTCTTGAAATTTCAGAAAATTTCTTTGATAAGCCTTGAATCTTGTTTCTGAAAATTAATCTTTTTCTCAAGAATGTTTTTCTTTCAAAACATTTTCTAAAAGTCTTTTCTTATTTTTTTAATTTCAAAAAGATTGATTTTGTAGAGTGCAGGACGTGATTCAGTTATAAAGAGTAATAACAGAGGTAATCTACCTAATATGGTAATATGTTACCAGCTCTTTAAATTTTGAACCAGAAACATAAAATCACTAGGGTAATCAATTACGAGATATGGTAATCGATTATCCTAAGCTTTTTAAGATCTAGGATTGCCTTTCATTCTGTGGTAATCGATTATCTCTAATGGTAATTGATTAACATGATAAAAACTTTGATTCTTCAGCCTTTTTTTCAAGCAAGAGAGTTTGTTTTAATCTATTACCAACTTTGGTAATCTGTTACCTCAGAGAATACTTGAAAAACATTTTCCAGTAACAGACATGGTAATCTATTAACACAGAGAATATTTGAATATTTTTTTCCAATAACAGATTTGGTAATCTATTACTCTGAATGGTAATTGATTAACAAAGTTACCTTGAAAACTCTTGTTTGAATCAAGTCATATTTCTATATTTAAGCACTTGGTAGTAAATTACCCTTTTCAAGATAATCTATTACTTTATGTTTACTCATGGAAATACTAAAAAATCAAATTCTTAGTTTCTTAAAAAACTTGATTAGTTCTTGAATTAAGCATTCATTATCATCATTAATCATAAACAAACACACACACACAAGCCTATATCTATTACAATCAATATAATATATTTTGCATAGGCTCAAACACCATCTATATATTAACATCATCAAAAGGAAAATTTCTTGAGGAGTCTTCAAATCATCTCAATGATCTCCATCATCTCAATAATATGTATAAATAGGATCCATTGGAAACACCTAAATAAAATTATTCCATTGTAGATGCTCTTAAAGAACTTGATATAGATAGAGTCACTTGAAGTAGACTACCTCAAAGTTTACAATAAAGTGAATAACTTTTAGACTAAACAAATCGAATCGAATTTGGTGATATAATAAGTAGAAGCAAATCACTTCTTGATAGTTTTACAAACTGTGATGTAAGTTTTATATTTAGACAAGTCAATTACTGGCCCATAGGTTAGTTAGGGAAGCTAAGTCCAATGCTAGTCTTATATAATTTACCTATGTACCATCTTGTATCCTATCATAGATTATAAATGAAATGCATTAAGCCTGTTTTTATTATAATAAAAAAATGTTTTAGTTGGAATAAATTTTCGGAAAAACTATTTTAAAAATAATTAATTTTATAAAATACAAAATTTTTTAATAATTCAGCTTTCAAAATTATTAAAAAAATAATTACAAGTTTCAAATTTTTAGATGCATAAAAATAACTAATTTTTTAGACTTTTCTTTTGAACAAAAGTAATCTATTATTTCAAATATACAACTTATTTTAAAAACAATTTCTTTTTTAAAAAAAAACTCAAAAATTTATCTTTCGCAAACTCACTTTAATCTGTCGATGATGATAATCCTTGAAAAATGTTTAAATGAGAAAATATATTTTTAAATTAAAAAGTTATAATTAAATTTAATTTTATATTTGTACATTCTTTTAATCAATTTTGATAGTTATAAATTTGATTGTAATAGATATAGGCTTGTGTGTGTGTGTTTGTTTATGATTAATGATGATAATGAATGCTTAATTCAAGAACTAATCAAGTTTTTTAAGAAACTAAGAATTTGATTTTTTAGTATTTCCATGAGTAAACATAAAGTAATAGATTATCTTGAAAAGGGTAATTTACTACCAAGTGCTTAAATATAGAAATATGACTTGATTCAAACAAGAGTTTTCAAGGTAACTTTGTTAATCAATTACCATTCAGAGTAATAGATTACCAAATCTGTTATTGGAAAAAAATATTCAAATATTCTCTGTGTTAATAGATTACCATGTCTGTTACTGGAAAATGTTTTTCAAGTATTCTCTGAGGTAACAGATTACCAAAGTTGGTAATAGATTAAAACAAACTCTCTTGCTTGAAAAAAAGGCTGAAGAATCAAAGTTTTTATCATGTTAATCAATTACCATTAGAGATAATCGATTACCACAGAATGAAAGGCAATCCTAGATCTTAAAAAGCTTAGGATAATCGATTACCATATCTCGTAATTGATTACCCTAGTGATTTTATGTTTCTGGTTCAAAATTTAAAGAGCTGGTAACATATTACCATATTAGGTAGATTACCTCTGTTATTACTCTTTATAACTGAATCACGTCCTGCACTCTACAAAATCAATCTTTTTGAAATTAAAAAAATAAGAAAAGACTTTTAGAAAATGTTTTGAAAGAAAAACATTCTTGAGAAAAAGATTAATTTTCAGAAACAAGATTCAAGGCTTATCAAAGAAATTTTCTGAAATTTCAAGAAGTGCAAAGATAGAACATGAATTCTTGAAGGAGGAAATTCAAGAAATGTATTCAAAAGTGAAAGATCAATATCTACACGAAATTAGGTGATATCTTTCTGATCTTTAAACTTGTATTTTCATTTTGATTGATGTATCTCTTGAGATAGGGTGTCTCAACAAGAGATTTTGAAATCTTGAGTAGGGTTTCTAAAGTAATTTCTGTGAGGTACAGAAATTTTGTATGTTTTGAATCTTGCAGTGTCAAGATTGATGTTTGTTAGAATTCTTGTAATATTGTGTGTGCAAGGTGTTTGTAAAATAATATTATAGTGAATGATCTTTGATTTAGTGGGGTGCTAAATCAAGGAAAACTGGATGTAGGCCAAGTGGATGACTGAACCAGTATAAATTTTTGTGTTCTTTATCTTCTTACCCATATCTTTAAAGAATCTTGCTAATTTCTTGTTTAAAGAATTTAAAGATTTTTGAGATATAAAATTTCAATTGCAGTACCAACTCTGATCTTTATTCTTGTAATTGAAATTGATTAAAAAGAAGGTAATGTAAAATCAACCTTGATTATTAAGGACTACTATTTAATTAAATTATTTTTAGTTATTTTTATTTTAGAATAGTGTTTCTTGATATTTTTTCATATGGCATACAATTCATCATTATTGTTTTCATTTCTAAATTAAATTTCAATTTTTTTAAAAGAATTAATCAATAGTTAAACAAAACTTTCATAAAATAAATTATTTAACACAGATATAAAACGTAATTTACATAAAATAAATAGTACCAAGGCCCACATCCAAACCACTTAATTTTTTTTTCATGCACCAGTTAATCTCTCAATCTCACTAAAGGCCCACGTACACTCACTAATTAAAAAATTATATTAAAATAAATTTCTCATTAGGACACAACGACAAGGTACAGCCCACGTCCAAACCACCTAATTTTTTTTTCATGCGCAGTGACTCTCCCAAACTCACTAAAGGCCCACGTCCACTAAGTAAAAAATTATATTAAAATAAATTTTTAGGTTTTCATTCGTATTTCATAAGGGTTGCTGGACATGGACTGTGCCGTTCTTCCCCCAAACTACTCCAGAATCCATATTCACCGCAGCAGAAAACCAAATTCAAGCATTTCAAGCCAAAATCAAAGAGAAACAGGAGTACGTAAGAGGCAGAAAACTTACGATTAACAAAAGCTTCCTCTTCTTGGTAGAGATACGAAGGGAGTTCCGAGTTCCGAATGAAAGTGTAAGTTTATGCTTTGTTTTTCACCTTTTATGTCAAAGTTTGAACCTTGAACCATTATTGATCTCGTGAATATATTCTCTGAATCCCTGTTCTCTTCTCTGAAAAAGCTTCCCGAAAGTTAACTTTTTTTTTTATTTAAAAAAGTTACTTTTTTAAAAACGATTCTTTAAGTTGTCGTTTGCGGATTCAAAACGGAGGTGTTGCAGATGCAACACCGTTACGCAACGGAAATATCCGTTATTTACGGTCTCACCGCAATTACGGTCCGATGCCGTTGCGGACAAGGCCGCAACCGCAATATTGAGGCCGCAATGCGTGATGCGGTCCGCAATTTAAAACCCTGCATTGAATTGAATTAAATACAACAGAGAGATAAGGTTCACAATATCAAAGGCTTCCAGGTTTCCCATTAACAAAGATTCAATTGCAAATGACAAAGTTACCTAGAAGCTCTACAACCATCAACAGTTTAACATAGTGTAGGCAGATACTACTGGTCTCTTTGATTCACATTTAAAAACCATGCTTCTAATACATCAAAAAAAGAATAATTGCTTCTAGAAACAAACCTTCAATGTCTTTAGGACTGACAATGCTTCTTGTGTAGAATCCACCAAAACTGAGATCGCAACTCGATCAAGCTTTTCCACAACTACAAATATGACAAGGAAAAACAAGGATAAGAAAACTACCAAAAAACAATTAGAGTATTAGTAATACACAAAATTAGACCCTAAATTTACTAGTATAGTAAACCAGTCAATTTATCCCTAAATTTCCAAAATGTTACTATTTCAGTTTCTGAAATTAGGAAACATTAAATTATGTCTGCAATTTCAGTGACTAAGTAAGGAACTCAAATAACAAATCAATGCGATAATACTAAAACCACTATTATGATGAAAAAAAATAAAAAGCACGAAGCATTTCCCAATTTTCGTAACGGCAACGCTATTCTCGAACACCATTGACTTGGTTCCGCCAAAAACGTCAGACTCTGGAGTGTCATTTTGATCAGGGCGAGTCTCCACACGACTCAACACCCCTTGCAACGATCACACGAACGAAATGTGAAACCCTAAACATGCAGTACACATTTTCTTTGAGTCAAAAACGAGAGAGGCACACATTCAAAGAGAGGCTTGAACGAAAACGTGGTGTGATGTAACGTACCTTTCTTGGAAGCGATGAAGATGGTGAGGAGAAGAGCGAGGGAAGTGCCGAAGCCCACAAAGGCGTAGGGAGGAGATGGGGAATTAGGGTGGAGCAGGGCAGGTTTGTTGGCGATGGAGTGGGTCGAGGCGTGGAGGAGGGCCCAATCGCTGAAGTCGTCGGGTGGTGGGGGGGTCAGGTGAGGGAAGGATGTTGCAAACCACATTTTGGTGAAGGTCAGCACGCAAGAGAAGAGTGTCCACCAGCGTGAGTGTTGAGAGGGTTTGGCCACTTGGACATTTGTCTTTCACTTCTACATCCGTCAAAAATTAAACCCTATGTAGAATAACTTTTTCATTTTATATCTACATCGGTTAATCACAAAATCGATGTAGAAGTTTTTATATTTACGTCGTTTCTTCGCAAAACCGATGTAAATATGTTTACATTTTCTATTTATTTACAAAATTGCCACCGCATTTTTTATTTACATCATTTCTATTGGAACCGATGTAGATATAACGATGTTGAATAGTACTTTTCTAGTAGTGCTATATGAAAAAAAGTTCCTATGCCCTTATTAGAGTCCTCCAAGTTTGGGAGCACTACTTTGTGATAAAGGAATTCATCATACATACTGATTATGAGTCACTCAAGTACATTAGAGGGCAAGGGAAGTTAAACAAAAGGCATGCCAAGTGGTTTGAATTTCTTGAGCAATTCCCTTATATTATCAAGTACAAGAAGGGAAATAATAATGTGATGGTCAATGCTCTTTCTAGGAGGCATACATTACTCTTTTCCTTAGGATCTCAAATTCTTGGATTTGATAATCTAAAGGAATTGTATGATCTTGATCAAGACTTCCAATCCACCTTTGCTAAATGCCTCCAAAAGCCTTTTGATGGATTCTATTTACTTGAGGGATACCTTTTTCAAATGGAAAAACTTTGCATACCTAAAGGATCCATTCAGAATCTTTTGGTCAAGGAAAGTCATGAGGGATGACTCATGGACCACTTTGAGGTTGATAAAACCCTTAGTCTCTTAAAATCAAAATTTTATTGGCTACAAATGAGAATAGATGTCCAAAGGCATTGTTCTAAATGCATCACTTGTCTTCAAGCAAAATCTAGAGTGATGCCTCATGGACTCTATACACCCCTCCCTATACTAGCTCCGCTTGGGTTGAAATTATTATGGATTTTGTGCTTAGTCTCCCAAGGACCCAAAGGGGATTTGATTCTATCTTTGTGGTAGTGGACCATTTTAGTAAGATGGCTCATTTTATACCATTCCATAAAGTAGATGATGCTAACTATATTGCTAAACTTTTCTTCAAGGAAGTTGTTCGTTTGCATGGTCTACCCAAGACTATTGTGTCCGATAGGGATAGTAAGTTTCTTAGTCACTTTTGAAAAGTACTATGGGAAAAACTAGGAACCAAGATTGTCTATTCCACTACTTGTCACCCACAAACCGATGGAAAAACCGAAGTGGTGAATAGGTTCCTATCCACATTGTTGAGGGTCATATTAAAGGAAATAAGAAAACTTGGGATGACTGTCTCCTCCATATAATGTTTTCTTACAATAGAGTAGTCCACAAAACTACTAATTTATCCCCTTTTGAGGTTGTATATAGCTTTAATCCCCTCACTCCTCTTAACTTACTCCCACTCCATAATACCACTTCCTTGTTTCACAAAGAAGGCGTATCTAGGGTTAATTTTGTAAAGAAAGATCATGAGAAAGTCAAGAGCCAAATTGAGAAACAAAGCCAAAAGTATGCCAAATATAACAACAAAGGGAGGAAAAAGGTAACTTTTAAGGTTGTGGGATTGGGTTTGGCTTCACTTGAGGAAGGATAGATTCTCTACTCAAAGGATGTAAAAATTAAGCCTTAGGGGAGATGGACCTTTTCAAGTTCTCCAAAAATCAATGACAATGCATTCATCTTAGATCTCCCTTCCAACTATGGAGTTAGTTCCTCATTTAATGTTTGTGATCTTATAGATCACACCTTTTGTAGGGACTAATGACATGGATGAGCTTGAAGATTTAAGGTCAAATCCTTCTTAAGAAGGAGGGGATGATAGAGGATCACCCTTGAAGTTTCACGTGGGACCCATGACTAGGTCCATGACTAGGAGAATGGAGGAGGATGGAGGAGACACCATGCCTAGGACTATGCTTATCATGTGTGTAGAGTATATTAACCCTCTCCTGGGCCTATTTTGAGTAGTATAAGATTTATTACTTTTACTTCCATTTTACCCTTGTATTTTGGGGTACCTTAGATGATAGGATTTTATTTTTTATTTTCACTTAACCTTTGTATTATGGGGCAAATTAGCTTAGGATTTATTTTTGGACTTAAACCTTGACTTGTGAGGTCAAAGTCCACTTTTTTGCATTTTTAGGTCAAAGGGTATTTTAGTATTTTAGGAGAAAAGGAACCCACACCACATTTAGCGTTAATTTAGGATGCATTTGAGTGCATTTGGCTTGCATTTCTCGGCCAAGCACCTCCAAATGCAACCCTAAATGCTTTCCTTCTCCTATATATACCCTAGGCCACCCACATTATAAATATTTTGAATTTTATGCATTTGAGTGAGCATTTTGCCTCAAAAGCTTTCCTTAGTCACCTAGGTCTTCACAACCTATACCCTCTCCTCTCAACCTAGAATAAGTACAGGGTTTCCTTGAGTGGCCTTCATCAATACTTGGTGAAGAGACCCAACCTAGAGCACCCAAACACCGTCCACCCTTCCTTATACCTATTCGCCTACTTCCTTCCCTTCACACCTTCTCTTTGTTATTCACCACCCTTAATGGAGAAACATCCTACCCTTTACACTCCATTTTGACCGTGGACAAGAAGATTCCTTCCTCCTTAGACACCATTTATTATCACATGGAAAGAAGGAGTCCATCAAAGACTCTGGGTTATTCCCAGCATGAGGAAAACAAGGAAAATAAAAGAATATTTTTTTTCAATCTTAACCTAAAAATATGTATGATAAAATTGAATAGTCTTTCATTCGTTAGGTTCTTCAAGAGTACGGATTTCCAAACAATATCACCAACCTTGTAATATTTGAAAAATCGTCTGCCTTTATAATTATCTTTTGGAACAGGAATAAAACTGATTCATTCCCTGTTAGAAGTAAACTTAGACAAGGTGACCTCCCTACCTTTTTGTACTTTACATGGAAAAAAAACTTGGGAACATGATTAATTCAGTGGTTAACGCTTGCGAATAAGGGCCATTTTAAATTTCTAGAAATAACCCTACAATGTCACACTTATTCTTTGTTGATGATGTTTTGTTTTTCTCCAAAGCAAACCTTCTCAAGCTCACATGGTTTATAACATCCTTGCTAAATTCTGTGAAGCTTCAGGACTAAAAGTTAAGCTTGTGAAATCTAAGGCCTTCACTTCCAAAGCTGTTACGAATAGATGGAAACAGAAGCTTGTTAGTATTACCCATGTAGAATTTACTAATGATCTAAAAAAAATACTTAGGTTTTTGCATGGCCTATGAATGGGTGACGCATCACCACCTTGACGATGAGATGGATAAAATTAGTAGTAGACCAGCTGCACAAAAAGGGAGAGTTCTTAATAAACCAGGGAGAGTAACACTAGTCAACTTTATCTTACTATACCTGCATATATATGCAATTACAATGGTTCCCTATGTGGTTTGCGATAGAATTGATAACATTAACAAATGGTTTATTTGGAGTGGGAATACCCAGATTGACTACATCTAGTGAACTAGGAATTTGGGGAGATAGGGAAAGTGGCATAGGTGTTTGTGTTGCTTGCCACCAAAATACCTAACTTCTAGGAAAACTCTGTTGGAACCTTCTCCAAGATGATAACAAACTATGGGTACAAGTGGTTAAGGCTAAATATCTGGACATAAATTACCTGATGGAATCATGCTTTGGAGTGCAAGAGGTGACATACTCAAAGATCCAAGAGGAGTGGGCTAGACATGGAAGATTGGGCCAGTCAAGGCCCAATGGGCCCTATGGGCTTGGAAGGCCCAAACCAAGTTTCAACATAGGCTTATCTTGTTATGAACATTCTTATTATATTTTGTTAGCATAGTTTGAATATATTTTGGTCTTGTATTTTGGACCACATAAAGTAGCATTTTAGGTTTTAGGCTTGTTGGGCCTAGTTTTGGGCTTCGTGGGCCTTTGGGCTTTTGGTACCCCAATATTGGGCTCATTTTCATTCTTGTAATTTTTCCTTTCCATTGTAATTGTTTGACCAAAGTAATTAGGTTATTAGAATAGGAAAATATAAGGAATACTAAAGTATGCTAGTAGGTTAAATTAGGTTTAATTTGGAAGTCATTTAAGTTACATTTGAGTCACATGTTTAGCACCATGGGTGGCTGAACATGTGCCACTCAAATTAACCCTAAATAACTCTCAAATCAAACCTAAATGCACCTTGGTACCTAAATTTTTGGACTTACACATGTGCACCAAAGTTTGAATTCAAATTTCAAATTTGAATTCAAACTTTAGGCGCCATTTTGTGAAGCTTTAGTTTAGGCGCCTATGGGTCACATTTCCGTGCATACTTAAGCCTTTCTTTCACCTTTTGTATTCACTTTGATGCATATTGAAATTTGAGAGCCATTGAGCCGAGTTTCCCTATCAAAGTCTTCTAGCTTCTCACCTCAAAAACCTTAGGAGAGTTCCATTCTTTCCTTCTCTTTGAAGTGAGTAGTCCATTGCTTCTTAAGCTTGGATACTTCCCTCTATAGCTTAGGAAACCTATTTCTGAGAATCTCCTTTCTTTAAGTGTTCATAGCTACGGATTAAAGTCTCCTTTGAAGAGGTCCTAGCATTGGTGAATCCGAGGAGAAGAATACCTTTCACTTCTCCTAGCTTTTGCCATCATTACCTAGCATACTAGATAATAAGGGTTCTTATTTCCTTAATTCCTTAAGGAATATGTTTAATGAATTGACACAATGGTATAGTCTATAACTTGGAAATGGTCTTACTAGTTTTTGGTACGGGAATTAGCTTAACAAGTGGAACTCTTTGCTTTCGGGTCTTATATGTCCACATCCAAGACACTAATCTTAGGGTTTGTGATGTGTAAAAAGACAAGAGATGGCACTTGAATACATTATACTTTATCTTACCTAAGGAGACAAAATAAGAGATACTTAACGCAAAGGTCTCATTACACCCTTACCTACCACCTACCAAATGTTATAATGTGAAATGAAAGCATCTCAAGTCGGTGCACAACAAAAATTGGCTACAGATGGCTCATGAATTAGGGGCTACCAGTTGAAAGCCACTGGAAATGGCTTTGGCGAACCTCTCTATCTGAAAATATTAAATTTTTCCTTTGGCAGGTTTGTAGAAATGTTATTTCGTTTAAACTCTTTCTTAATTTCAAGCACATCACT